TCTCCTGGGAGGGGGCCGATGCGAGGCTCCCGGCTGCACCCGGAAATCTGCGACAGGCGGTCCGAGTAGAGCCCCCCACAGGTGAGCACGTAGCGGCAGCGTAGCTCGTTGCCCTGCGGGGGACGGAGGAGCGCATCCGGAAAGTATTCAACGTCGTCTCATTTCAAACATTGATTTTTATCCTCAAAATGGCAACACTTTATTTGGAAGATTTTTGCAAATTATTTCAAAATAAAAGACTGAATGTGGGGGAAAAAATCAATGAGCTGTGGACAGTTAAAAAAAAAAGTAAATTAAATTATTTCCTTTCTCGGTGTGGCCACGTGCCATAATTACAATTAAATAGAAAAAAACAAACAAACCAAAAAAAAAAAACTGTTTTTGTGACATTTTCCCCTTCAATGCCTGGTATGAACGCCATCATGTGGATATGCTGTACTGGACCCAAAGTTCCTCTCTTGGCTTCTCAGTACATCACTGATATTAGTCATTCTTTGCAGAGGATCAAGAATGATGCCTGTGAGCATTGTTATGTGTTGATGTACCATTTGTGTTTACCTAGCAGGTGCTTAAAAATGGTAACGACACCTGGACTTACAACATAAAACGTGGAAAGAGATGAAGCGCACCTTCTTGTCCTTGATGGCGATTGGATATTTGAGTCCTGGAAAAGACACGATGACATCATCAGTACACGTGTATACGCTTCTTCTTCTTCTACTATGACTTCTTACCTATTGAGTCCTGGAAAAGACACGATGACATCATCAGTATAGTGTATACGCTTCTTCTTCTTCTACTCCTACTACTTCTTACCTTCAGCGCCCCCTGCAGGGCTCTCGGCGGCCATGGAGATGTCACTGACTTCGAACTGCGTGACCACCTTGCCGCCGGCCTCCTCAAAGTCTTTGCCGTACTGCAGCGCCACCTGCCGCCAATCCACGATGCCCGTGTTTGGGGAGTCCAGCGCCATGACGCCCTGATAGAGAGAGTTTCACTTCATCGTCAAGCCAATTCCTCACTGACTACAGACAAAGAAATGCCTCCCTCAAACAATCCAATGAAGACCGAAACAGCTTCTCCTCTTAAAATAAAGACTCAACACGCTACCATGAACGCCTCCATCAAATCACCATCGTCGTCGTCTCCATCACGGAGGTAACAACTCACTCGAGCGGCGATCAATTTACGAGAGATAAACACCTCATTTGGCCTGTTTCGTGCAAATAACACCTCACGTAAGCAACCGTCAATTGAAAGCAAGTAAACACTTCCCTGGAGCTATCAAGTAAAGAAAAAAAACGCCTTCGTCGGGCAACCGTCAACATAAGACAACCTTGCTAAAATAAATAAATAAATTAAAAAAAAAAAAAAAAACTTACCCTGCAGTATGGCTCTCGCTCTCTAATTCCTTTGGCGTCCACGATGCTGAGCCCCGGCACGTTGTTCTTCAGCCCCCGCTCGTATAACGCTTTGAGGCGAGGGATTTCCTCCTGATCCAATGCCACGATGAGCTGCAACAATACACGAGCACAATACATCATGAATAAAACCACTTTTTTGTTGGGCCCTTTTTTTAACACACCAATAAATAGGAAGTACAGGCTGAACATTTTATTTATTATTATTTTTTTTTACATGACTTTGTCCTTTTGTATTTGCTTAATTTTACAACAGAGAGAAAATTGGAAAAAAATTGGAAGATGTTTTTTTCTTTGGGGAGAGGGCAGGGTTCAAAATCATTTTTTCTTATGTTTTAATGCATCAATGTGCTTTAAAAATATCTTTAAAAAAGAAAAAGAAAAAAATAACAAGCCGATTTTTGCCTGAGAATGGATGGATAGGTGGATGGATGTGATGGTGGCTACTTGGAGAGCAAAGTATTTTTTCGGTGGTACTGGTTTGACAAGGTAGCAGTATAGAGGTTACTTAAGTTGACTGGACCTTGCCACACTTCTTGTAGGGAAGTTGTTTCTTGTCGCAGTATTCGTAGGCCAGCGCCGCCCCTCGCACGCACAGGCGAGCCTTGAGCGAGCCAGGCGTGTAGTAGATTCCACTGTGGATCACGCCGCTGTTGTGGCCGCTCTGGTGCATCGCTGAAGGGAAAAAAAACAAACACCAAGAAGAAGATCGAGGCGTAAAGTAATGAACAGATTAATCCAAAGATAGAAAAAAAAATTGAAATCAAAATGTTTAAAAAGCAATAAAAAGGTTGGGAAATGACAAATAAATACACAATATAAAATATGTGTCACTTTTACATGGATTAATTCTCATTATTTATTGAGTTACATTTAATTTTACCAAGTGAATATGTGTCCTGTAATTCAGCAATTCCTACTTTCATAAATTGTTAAATGTACATGCATTTAGTTTAGACAATTCAACAACAACAACAACAACAACAAAAACCAAAATAAGTTGAAACTCATCTAAATTGTATATTTATTTGACTTTTTAGATTTAATTTTGGCAATTTGATAGAAAAAAAATAGCTCCCTAAATGCACAAATATTGTTGGAAATGATCAATCTCATTGATTACATTTTTTATTTAATTTTAGCATGAGAACAAAATTCACCAATTAATTCATTCACATTTAAATTGCACTGTAATCACCTACATTCTTTTTATTGGATGCTGATAATTGAATAAAATCTCAGAATAAATTGACATTCCAAAACGAATGAATTCCCACTTTTTTATTTCAAGCTTTGAATTTTAAAATCGGCCACAATGTTAAAATTAGTTACTTCATCAATTAATACATTTGTATTTATTTCATTGAATTGAAATACATTTTGACAGCCACAAAAATCTCCATTATGTTGTGTGTCAAGCCCCAGCACCACTCCCCCCAGCCCCAAAAAAAGAACTACAAATTAAAATGCCTTTGTACATATATACAAAGGATGAAAAAGCCAGTAGTTTTCCCCTCACAGAGTTCTTTCTCCTTCTCCAACAGGGTGAAGGTGAGGGTGGGGTGTCGCAGGATGAGCTCCCGGGCGGTGGCCAGGCCCACGATGCCGGCGCCCACCACGGCAACATCGCACGTACTGGAAGACACCACACGTTGATCAGTCACAATGACATATGTTTAAGAACTGTCCCGGCACATATGGAGGCCTGCATGTTGACAAAGCGGTTCAACGTCCTACTGTCCTCCACAACAAGCATGACCTTTGAAACAGACAGCAGGGGAACATCGTGCAATCCGATGCACATTTAACCTTCATGTAAACTGCTTGCGTCAAATTTGTCCAGTTTTAGTCCGGGAGGGTAAAACACAAGTCGTACACTTTCCTTGATCTGAATCATTGATTAAGGCAGAATCATCCATTTATGTCAGACAGGCGATGAATATATTTTGAAAATATCTGAAGTTCATCATTTGAGATATTTTGTAGTTTTGGGGGTATTCTTGTACAGAAGCCGACGTGTGCAATGAAAATGAACAGTGTGTGCGCTTGTAACAACACACTGTTGCTCCTTGGAATCCTGAACAGGAAGCCCTACAATGAAAAGAGTCACTGGCCAAATGTTCAAAGCCTGAAATAACAACTCCAATTTTGTGACCTCAGGAGAAATAAGTCTGCAAAACTTGCCGCTGAATTGGTTGCCAGCCAATCGCAGGGCACACACATCGTCGAACAAACATTCATACTCACAATCACACCTAGGTACAATTCAAAGTGTCCAATCAACCTGTCTTTGGGGAGTAGGCGGGGTATACCCTAAATTGGTTGCCAGCCAATCGCAGGGCACACATCGTCGCACAAACATTCATACTCACAATCACACCTAGGGACAATTCAGAGTGTCCAATCAACTAATCGCACCCTAGACCTCTGCACTGTGAAGTGGACTTGCAGACCATTCGATCACCGTTTTTAAACAGTTAAATAAAAACTCGACAGTGAATGTATACATATTAGGAGGATTGCGAAGGGGTGGAGTAATTTTGTAATCTTTTTCTGACTAGTTAAAACCTTTTATTTTCCATTACATTTAATAACTCATAAATAAATGATAAATAATTAATACATTTTCATTATCAGCTTGAATGCACATCAACTCTCATTTCACGCCGCTGGTCCACATTAATATGGAGCAAAGTACATTCGACTATGGCCCTTAAGTGCAAAACACACACACACACACACACACACAAACGACTTTTTGTTGGGATTATTTTTTTTGTTTTGTAATTTGTTGTAGTGGTTTGTGTTTTTTGATTTGCTGCTGTGATTCTTTTTTTTTGTGCGTGTTTAAATTAATCATAATTTTTTTCCGAAGATTTGGGAGTTAAATTTTTGTTTTTGCTTCGAATGCATTTCAATAGGCGTCAATCATACGCGGATTTTCACAATTTGCGGCCTGGCCTCGTCCCTATCTGCCGCGAATAACGGGGGTCGGCCGTACGGCGCGGGAGTCAGGGGGCTATTACATAACCGCACTGCCCCAAGGGTCTTCAGGCACACTCAACTAATGTGAAAAACATGCATGCGCTCGTTCTTTTAAAGTACTTTCACTCAATAGGAAAACAAAAACATTTCCAAGAATTAATTTATCCTTCAGTTATTTGTTAGTCCTGTTGTAAAATGCCCGAAAGTGCAAACAAGTCGACCAAAGTTTCTCGAAAAGCAAAGCATGTCGTAAATCTACACAAAAATAGTCACCAAACCAGAAAAGTGGGAAAATTTATCGTGATTTTTTTTTTTTTGCCCTCTTACCTGTGCAAGTGTCTTGTGCAGGTGTCATGTAGCAACTTAGCGCTAGCAGCCTTTAAAGAAGCACTTGTGCCCACGATCCGTAACATGGCAACTTCTCGTCAGACTATTGCATAGAAAAAGAAAAGGACAAAGCTAAAAGTGTTTCCAGCGATCCCGCCTTCTCTTGTCACTTTCCTCCTCCTCTTCCCTTCTCGGGTCATCGATACCCGCTAACTTCCTCCATTAAACCCAAAACCCGCGTTCAATCCCGCGAGAGTTCATCCTCGGCCAGGTAGCCAATGGGAAGGTCCGTCTTTGGTGACGTTTTGCTCTAATAAAATGGCCGCGTCTGACATGTAAATAAACCCGCCTAGCTGAAAGGGTAGGTCACAAAACGTTCACATGTTTGGGAGAAATCTGCCAATACATGAATTTGTATTATGAAGTTTCAAGCTGTATTAAATTAGTTAATATTGCAGATGAAGCTGCTTGTGAAGGTGGCGCAGTCTGCTATGAAGCAAAAAGACACGAGCCGGAGACATTTCTGGGGCTGGCTCAATGCTGTTTTCAACAAGTACGTTTATTTTTATCAATCAATCATGTGTTCTGGTCAATAGGTGTCTGTTTTCTTATTCATCTTCAGGAGTATATTACGGTACAAATATTTTGATGGTGATATAATGCAACATTTGTTTACAACTTTTTACTAAATCTTATTACATTTTTGAAAAGTACATTTCCTGAATTTAAGGTATATTTTTTTTAATTTCTAGTTGAAATAATATTTTTCATTTATATTACAAGTTTGACATTGTCATCCACAAAGCCATTCAATCTCTCAATTTGTTGATATCCACATTATTGGAATTTGGATGAGCATTTGTCATGCATAGTCTGTTCTTCATGATATAGTATAATTACAGTACAACAAAACAAATGACTGTAAATTTGGCATAATTTTGAAGCATCTAGAGACAAAGCGTCATTTTTCTTTTACCGACTAAACTTGGTTGCTGTTTCCAGGGTGGACTACGAACGCATCAAGGCCGTGGGTCCCGACCGGGCGGCGTCCGAGTGGTTGCTGAGGTGCGGCGCCAAGGTGCGATTCCTGGGTTTGGATCGCTGGCACGGGGACTACAACGCGCTACCCACTGGGCCGCTGGGGCGCTTCAAGATCCAGGCCATTGATGCCACCGACTCCTGCATCATGTACCGGGGCTTCGACCACCTTGGTTTGAGAAACGTGCCTACATGAACTCCCTTTTATCGCGGGGATACATTACAGGCCCACCCTACTGAAAGTGTAAATCCACGATATTGAGACCATAAAAAAATATTTGTTTTTTGCCTGTTTTACCACTGCACATACTTTAGATACATTTAAACTTCTAGAAAACACATTTTAAACCTATTTCTCGCAACATTTTTTTTTTCCAAAAAGCACCTCGTAACATATTTAGCTACTTTTAAAATTCTCTATTGGCATGTCATTTTTTTGGTTGAAAATCGACTGGATGTAATGTTCTATGTCAGTGAGTAGGCAAGACCGGCGGGAGGCAAAGTGCGATATTTACGGGAGGGGGCAACGTGGCGCCACCGCCATCCTTGACGTCATTGCGTTGCATTTGTGCAGAGGGTTTGCAGCACGTGGAGGAGGTGAAGCTCCGCAAGTGCATCTACATCGAGGATGCGTGCTTGGAGCGGCTCAGCTCACTGGAGAACCTGCAGCGCAGCATCTTCATCATGGAGGTGGTGTCGTGCGGGAACGTCACTGACAAGGGCCTCGTCGCTCTGCACAAACTCAGGCTGGTCTCTCTTTTTTTTTTTTTTTTGTCATTTTAAATGTATTTTATATATAGATTAAAAATAATAATTTTGTCTTTTTTTAAGTACATTTTGGTTAAAAAAAAAAATCAAAAATAATCACTCGTTGTTTTAAGTAAGGCATTATTGTACAACTTGAGTGCGATAGTTTCTGAAGTTTTGGAGTGGGCTGTGCAGTGCCGAACACGTTCGACCGGAACATTTAGTTCCAGGCACTGCACGTACAAAGTCGTACGTAATAGTTTCTGGAATTTTAGGATGGAAAACAGCTTTAAAGAGACTTTTGTATGTTTTGTTTTGTTTTGTTTTGCCCCCCATGCAGAAATCTGGAGTACCTGTTCCTCAGCGACCTGCCTGGTGTCAAAGACAAACAGAGCACGGTGGAACGTTTAAAGACTGCACTCCCACGTCTTGATGTTCATGTGGACCTGAACTAAAAAAAAACAAACAAACAACAACTAAGCACTTTATTGTTGACACCAATTTATTTATCGGCAACATTAGTCCTGTTAGCTTTATGCCAAAGAAAGGCTCGTTTGTGCTTCTTCGCAAACGTGAATGCCTGTTTGCTTCTAGGTGGTCATTTTGGGTCTGCAGCTTGTTTTTTTTTTTTTGTTTTTTTGTTTTTTTTGGCCAGCGGCTTTTTCTTGACGTGTTCAGCCAGTTAGCATTTCTGTTTATCAGGCCGAATAAATCAAAATCCAAGTACATGCATGTTTGTTTGTTTTTAACAACTTAACACATAACAACTAAGACAAAGATAATGACCCCCCCACCCCAAAAAAAGGCAACAAAACTGTTGTAAAGTTTAAAAAATATTAAACTCAATATCTTTATTGACCAAAAACAGTTTTTATAAAGTATGTGTATTTTTACATAATCTGACGATTATTCAATTATCGAAATTTTACTCTGCCACGAATCAGAATCGGCATAAACATAAAAAACTCCATGTCGGTAGGGCCCGAATTGTGACAGGAGTTTTAAAATTGACTTTGCCAATTATGCTCTTGGGCCAGTGAGACTTAAAGTGTGGTACGTGGGCTCCCTCTAGTGGTAGGCAAAAGAATGGCTGCCCAAGTACAGTTCAGTTGTATTTATGTTATCTTCAAACCTTTGATTTTAAACTTTCATTTAGGTACCATTTTTAGTTACCTTGTATTCGCAATACATTTGAATTGAATCATTGAAATACACCTTTTCTAATGGATAATTAATTGCATGATAATGTTCAAACTGCATTACAATACAGAGATTTACAGTCATAATGTTTGAGAACAACAGTATTTTGCTGCCTTGAGACGTGAGTATCTCGACGTTTTTGGAGATAAGGGCCGATGTTTTATTGTTTTGTTTTTTTGCTTTGACTTGCGAAGCGAGCACAGTACATTGTTAGAGGCTCAACTCAATTCACAATAAGCGGCTCAATTCTTGAAAAAATGAGACTTAGCTGTTTGTTGCCATTCCCAGTTGAGGTTGTCTGCAAAACAAAAATATTGTACATCTTGTGTATTTAAACAACCACGTAGGTTAGCAGACAGGCCCGATAACATACTTAGTCATACTTTCCTTATCCCCTGCGTAGAATGACAAGTATTAGTGTCATACTGTTGACACTGCCCCCTAGGTAGGAAAGCAGTGTGACAAAAACGGTTTCATTCTTTTGGGTTGGGTTCTATTTAATTGTGTCAATGCAAGTTTTTATAAAGAACAACATTACGGAGTGATACTTTTCCGAAGTAAATTACACATTACAATAATTTCTTTGATTTTATTCTTGAGGGGTGGGGCGGGTGGCTGAAACACATTCATTGCATTTTAACGGGAAAATATTTGAGATGTCAATCTTTTGTGTTCCGAGCGTGGTCGCAAAACACATCGAACTCGTATCTCAAGGCAGCACTAATTTAAGCTGACGATTTCAGCCCTCCACCACAGGTTCCTGGTGGTATTGCAACATTTGATCCATAGCTAACGCAACATGAAGGAGCCTTTAATTGGGGCACGGAAATTTTCACGATTAATTTGGCATTTCCACACCGAGACGGCTGCGGACGTCCATAGCACCAATGTGGGATCGTCTCGACTTATTTATTACGATCGTTGTGCTGATTTCAATAAATAAAATTGAGAGAGTCAAGAAAAAAAAGTGGCGTCCTACTTGACTTGCAGTGCAGAAGATTTGGCAAAATCTTCCATGTCGTTGACGAGCGGAGCGTGGCGTCACGCGATGATCCTTGTCCTCCATAAACTAGCTAGCTAACGCTTGAAAATAATAAGAGGAAAAGATACCGACGAATGTCAGTCGCTCAGCTCCAGTTTCATTTCCTGAGTCTTGTTGAGGCACGAGTCCACGTGTTTCTAGATGTTGGGCAGGTGGTAGTTGAACTTGTTGAGGTTGTGAAAGTACTTCTTGGTGTCCGGAGCAGGGAAGATGCTGCTCCCCGTCAGCTGAGGCAAACACTGACAACCACACGCCAGAAGAGAATCAACATGCAATAAAATGAAACTAGCAAGATCTCCTTTTGTTTTTCATAAAGAGAGTGACTCACCCCGGCGGGCAGGTGTTTGCGCGGCAGGCGGGTCCTCCTGTTACCATGGCGATCATGCCCCGTGTTGATGTTGATCTGTTTAGCGTTGGGGAGGCTTTTGTGTCTCATGCTGTCAAAGTAAGGATGCTGCAGCAGCTGCTCGCACGCGAGACGCTCGCTTGGGTTCATACGAAGACAAGCCTGAAAACAACATTGACGCAAAGAATGTTTAGTTGACTTGAAGGAATAAAAGCAAAATAACAGATGCCTACGTTTATTCAATATTAATTCATAACATTGGAAAATAGGACGCAAAAATGTATCCATAGAAAATTAGATAAGACAAGAAATGAACTGAAAAAATATATATTATTATTAGAATATATCATGTTGCCATTACCTTCATGAGACTGAGTGTTTGGTGGGAGAGGTTTGGATATTTCAGCTCCAGAGGTTCCTAATGGGTAAGGGAGGGGGGCGAAGGGGAGAGAATATGTGTTGAAACTTGTCACTGGACGCAAGGCGTGCAATCCAACGTGTGGCTCGGACCATTTGTTGAGGTTCCGGGATGGACAGGCCATGGAAGAAGTGATTGGTGCTGAAAACCTGCTGATGGCGACAGATCAGATCTCCTGCAACATATTATACACACATAGACAAAAACAAATATTAAAAAAAAAAAAAGATACCATTCATAGTTTCAATTTGATTTAATTAAAAATTTAGGAAATGATTGTTGAATATTGTTTTAAAATATATATATATATACCTCAATTATGCGGTGTCCGCCATACTTTTTTTATTCTCTCGCACTTGATAGAATACCCTGTATAAAAAAACTAAAACTAATACTAAAACAAAATATATATATATATATATATATATATATAATAAAATTTGGGGGTGGGGGGGGGACACTAAAAACAATTTAAAACTAACCAAAATCCATAAACGAAAATCAATGTGTAAGAAAAACTACAGGAAATGATATTTATTTATATATTTATCAATTTTTTTTTGGGGGGGGGGGGGTTTAAAAGTGTTGTTTTAGCAAAGCTGACCGAGGGTCTTGCGGATCAGGTAGAGCTGGTCCATGTCGGACTTGCCGGGCCACAGCGGAATGCCGGAGAGGAGCTCGGCGAAGACGCAGCCGACGGCCCACACATCCACGGGGGGGCCGTACTGCGTGTCCCCCACCAGCAGTTCGGGGGCACGGTACCAGCGGGTGGCCACGTAGTCCGTGTACGAGTCGCACGGCCCCGCTACGTGCATGGCAAAAGCAACACAGCAACAATCAACGCAAAATTCTTTCTCTTTTTTTTTTTTTTTTCAACAAATAACTTACAAAACTATTACGTGTACAATACTCAATAATAACATCATAATATTTGAAGAAATTATTAGATTGATTTCAATGAAAGAATTTTAGGATGTAACGCCATCGGGGTGCTCACTGAGAATCCTGGCGAAGCCGAAGTCGCAGAGTTTGATGATGTGCTGTTTGGTGATGAGAATGTTCTCGGGCTTCACGTCTCTGTGGATACACTGGCCGGGGTAAGAAAGCACACGGTTTAAAAAAAAAAAAAAAAAAAAGAGACCCGGTGGTCAGCGGGCGGCATGTTTGTGCCGAGGTGGGGGAGAAGGAATGCTTGTTAAAGAAGAAGAGAAACAAAGACGTGTGAAAGCGCGCTCACTCAGCTTACGTTGTGCTTGTGGCAAAAGTTGACGGCCTGAAGCGTCTGCCACGTGATGCTCTTCGCCAAATGCTCAGGAACGCTGCACTCATCAACAACAACAACAACCATTTTCAGCAATGTCCTATTCAAGAGTCTATATAAGATGTCAACACCCGCACCACCCACCCGTTCAAATGCAAGATTTTTGTGATATTCCAAAAAAATAGGTCAAGATGAATCATTTGAAAACAAACTATGGAAAAATGTGGTCTGTAACATCAACAACTCAAATCTTTTCGGGAGGGGGATATAGAAATAACATCGGACAACAGCAAATTTTAATAAGAGATAACTTTGGGTCCATAAATGTAATTTTTCATTCTGATTTCAAAAGTGTCTTACGGTTTTTGTCTTTTTTTCAAGGACATCAGTTTTTTCAGTTTCATATTATTTATTTATTTATTTTTTTTATTTTAGGTTTGACCTATAGTTGCGCAGTACGTATTTTACAATGCATTGTAATTCACAGCTAGGACGTTTCAGATAAAAATTGCACCTGGTGCTGAACCTCACACAAATGTTACATAATAACACATTCTTATTATTATGATAACCTGATGTGCTACAGAGATATAAAATGTCCTGCTCGCAGTCACAAAGGACAACTATGATACGCTGAGATGCTTGAGCCGCCACGTTTAGCAAATAATATGGATTTTATTGCCGCGCTCCGCACAAAGCTGCGTCGCCTCGCAGGCCGCCTTCTTTTCAGCGTCGCCACGGGAAACGGCCATCACGTGACTTGCGATTCGTAACAAGGTCCGCCCCTCCCGTAAAGGCGGCTGACGGCGCCCCGCCGGCACAGAGCATCGCCGCAAACATTCCCGGCGGGGCGGGTCCGCTTCCCCAGGAGACGGCCAACACAAAGACGGCCACATACAGTATGTCAAGGGGAGATAATCCAATGTACACAGCGCCGCACCGCCGTGGTGCTGTCGCTGCATCGCTCGGCAGCTGAGGATGTGGTGTGTGTGTGTGTGTGTGTGTGTGTGTGTGTGTGTGTGATGCTGACCCTTGGGGATGTCGGTCCAGCTCATGGAGCACCGTGTGGTCGCAGTACTCGAAGACCAAGTGAAGCTTCCTCTTGCGGCGAAACACCTCGATCAGATTCACCAGGTTGCCGTGTTTCAGTTGCTGCATGGGGGGGGCGCACACACACACACATATATAAGCGCAGTGAGTGAGAGTGCTGGTAAGACGTCCACCTTCCTACCACTAAATCCAAAGTGTTAATAGGCGCCCATAAAGCTGGCGTTGCCCTCGGCAACAGCCCCGACTCTCCCTAAGACACCCCCCCTTACCCGACCAGGGTCCCGCTATATTTATGGGCTGCCACTCCCACCCGCCACCGCTTGACTAATTAAGCAGAGCGGCTGACACTTGGACTCAGTCTGAGGCGGCGGGCACGCTTCCAAAATTGGAGAGCCCAATTGTGATTTCAAGTCACAATTCCTTGCAACGGAATGTATTTTGGGGGAAAAAAAAATCACTTGATGAACTACTAATTAAGTAGCAATTTGAAAAGATGGACACTATATTGGTGACCACCCCCAAATTTTCAGGATGATTTAATGAGAAATGGTTTTCACATTCTTGTCATGAATTCATTGACTGGCGACATCTAAAATATTGACAGCGCGATTAAACGTTTACACGCATTTACACAAGACTTATTTTCATCATAGAGATTCATTTTTTTCATTTGAATTATTAAGTATTTTTTAGCATACCAATCATGACTAAAACAATTTCACTTTCATTTTATATATTTCAATATTAATATTTAAGCCTTGAGAAAAAAAAAATCACTTCCTGGCACTTCATTCGTTACATGAGCCATTTATAGTATCTTCAAATTTTTGCTTGTACCTAGCGAAGTCGTGCATGTAAAATATGATGCCAAAAGTCAATTCTAAAATAAAATAGAATGATGCATGTGTCGACCTTGAGCATCCTGATTTCCCTGAGCGCGATCTTCCTGATGGTGGGGTCATCCTCCGATTCCACAAACTTCTTGATGGCCACGATCTGCCCAGAGTCTCTGTTGCGACATTTGAAGACCACGCCGTACGAACCCTCGCCGATCTTTCCCATCTTCTCGTACTTGTCCATCCTTTGATGCAAAGCATCCGCAAAACAAAACAAAACTAACAAAAAAAAAGAAAACCCCCAAATTCCCTATGACACAGAGGAAGAAAATTCGTTAGGGAGATCTACACTATACATAGAGATGGGTCATATTATGAAACAAAGTTGGAATATGATAATGTCATAACTGTGGAAAATTTTTTTTTTGTAAAATAATTTTACAAAAAAAAGTTACATGGGAAAAAAATTACTTCAAGTGAAGGAGAAAGTCAGAATTTAACGACAATAAAGTTGTAATACTTCAAAACGCTACTGGTATTTTTTGTTTTTTTTTGGGCGGGGGCTTTTAACACAAGGAAAAACAAGTTGTATTGTTTTTCCAGACAAGGTTGCAGTAGTAATTTAAAAAATGTATGTCAAGTGCAAGAGAGAGAAAAAAAAGCAAAAAAGTGTAAACGTCGGGTTGCATAAAAGACAATAGTACTGTCAAACTAAAACATGTCCCTTCATCAAGGCACAGCACCGCTGGTAAACAACATCAACAACAAAAAAACAACTCTTTCAAGAAAACACCTACAAAAATGATTTCATAAAGAAAGAAAAACAACAAAAAAACACATCACTTACTTTTGGGGGTGATGAAGAAAAATAAAAATCTCCTGAGATGTTTTGTTGGAGAGAAACTCAAGAGGCTTCCTCCTCTCTGAGGCTCAGATGTGATGTGTGGAGAAAAAAAAAATACCCAAAAACTCCCTAACATCACACATGCACGCAGCCGTGCACAAGAGCCCCATCCACCCAAACCTTCACAATAAAACTCACTGCTATTACACATTCAATGCGGCAAGGTGACACCAACTACAGTGCCATTCTTTACCATGTATCAAATGACGATGAGTGTACAGGAGACTATGTGCTTTCACTATGTTTGAATATTAAAGTGACTGACAAATAGATGTATGTTTTTTAACCGTGTTTCAAATGAAGGTGACGAAGGAGTATGACAGTATATGCCACTGTACTAAAGTGACACTAATGACTAGATAGATGCATTAGTTTTGTTGTTAGCGAGGATGCTACAATACTACTGTCACTAATAGTGAGATTTAAATCCCACACATTTATCATGTGTCAAATATGACAAGCTTATCTCTTATTTTGAAAATGTCACACACCGCCCATAACACGCCAAACTTGACACAGTTTCCTGGTCGTCCAGCCAGTCGCCATAGCAACAGCCGGGGCGGTGAAAAAGAAAGAAAATGACTCGGTTGATTCGTCCGCATGAAAGCTGGAACAACTAAGACATTTAAAAGCAGTTAGAGACAAAACAACAAATAAAAATAAATGACGAGGTTGTACCTTTGATGTCCTGGTAGCGGGGCCTTCCTGTTTGGAGGAGGTTGATTTGTGCTTAGTGCAAAAGGTCACGTCACACTGAGACCAATTAGCGTTGCTCGGGGGGCATCGGCAGAAGAGTGGCAGCCTAAACGGGGGAATTAACGGAAACAAATACCCACGTCTGCCTCATCAACACTCGAGACACATGCAGAAAAAAATAGCATGGTGATGACAGATTACTTTATTAAAAAAAAAAAAAGCACAACCACCTACAATTTTCATATATTTTTTAAAACTGGAATGACATTTTCACTATAACTGCAGTTCGTTGTAGTTAGTTTGATCAATGTAAAATGTAGTTTGAGCTGTTTTCTTTCTTAATTTAATTTCATAACCAAAAAGTTATTTTATTATTATTATTAGTTATTTCAAGAATTTTCACTAACTATAATAGCCTTGGTCGGGCCATGGTTTCAATATGCACGCTTTTTCCGGTGACAGTTTTCAACATCCATCGCATATATGCACACACATTGTCAGCAACAGCTTTTTTTTTAATTAAAAACAAACAAAAAAAAAACAGCATAGGTGAAAACATTTTGCAAAGGGAATGCAAAGATGTTGACAGAAGCGCGTCGTCCCTCATGTTGTCATTTTAAATTACATTAAAAAAAAAAAAAAAGAAAAATGTACAAAAGTGCTTACACGGTGCAAATAAGAAGTTAAAAGTCTACAAAAGAGTAAAAGCAGAGGGAAGATTACACAATTGTACATTATATTCAAGATTTAAAAAGGTTGGATATGACTATGTTACAACGCAAGTAGAACCCAAAAGCTACTCAGAAGGCTGCCGGTTATTAGGTAGTCCGAGATACCCGAGGTTAATATTAATAATGCTAATAAATATTGCTTAAATAAAGCGCATGTGGCTCAGGTGGTTGTGTTGCTCTGCTCGAGTTGGATGGCAGAAGCTCCAAGCCTGTGGGCGCTAAAAGTCTCCCAAAATGATACTCACCAGCTTGTAATGGCACTTATAAGACCTCCAAATAAGTGGATGTAAAATGTAGATGATTTAAAAAAAAAAAAAAGTTCATATTTGTAACTTTTTGCTGTGATGCACGTTCCTCACGGGCTCCTTGTGAGTCTGACGAGCTGAGCTGCGGTCAGCTCAATGGAAACAACATCCCATGACCCCCCCCCACCCCAAAAAAGATTACCCAAAAAAAACAAACAAAAAAAAAAAAAAAAACGCTCGATGGATCAGTAACTGTTCTCGTGACCCGCCAGGATATAGAGGTTGCTCAGCGCCGTTGGGTTGTCCGTGGGTCGGCTCTCCAGAACCACCACCCTGAACGGAAAGGGGGGGTGGGGGGGTTGCACGGTTAAGAACACAAGAGTGGAATCTCGTGGAAAAGAGCCACTATCAAGGAGCCTGGTCCCAAGAACATAAAGAACTGCTTGTAAAAGTCGGCAGTTTAAAGTCGATGGGCAAGTTGAGGGGGAGGGAAACAAAGTTTATTTATTCATTCCTTCTTCCGAAGGACCCTCCCCCCAATCTTTTCCCCCCATGTCGCTGTTCTGTGTGAAAAGCAGCGAGATGGAATGGCGGGACCAACGCAACATGGCAATTGTCCGCCTTCTGAGATATCGTCGACTTGGGGACGGTACCGTACATCCGTGTGAAAGGGACTAACCCAGGGGTGGCAAACTCATTTTTGGCGCGGGCCACATTTGCGTTACCGTTTCACTTGGAGGGGCGTTATGACTGAAACCATATAAAGAAGAATAACTGTTGATTTAACTATTGTTTAAGTTACTATCATGAAGAGTTTGGTCACAAGAAAATGCTGAGAATATATCTCTTATTTATTACATATGAGAATTTAAAATTTTGGGAGACATTTTAGAAAGGATCATGGAAGTTAACATGTTGGAGCTGCTTTGGCGGGCCACATAAAATGATGTGGCGGGCCAGATCTGGCCCCCGGGCCTTGGGTTTGACACGTGTGGACTAACGGAAAGAAAGGGTGGGCTGGTGTGTGAAGTTTACCGTCTCTAACTCACTACTCCTGCCCTGCTGTGCTGAAAGCACGCGTCGCTGCCGGGTGACCATTTCGTGCGGTCAGCATGGAGATATCATAGGGCGCACCCTCATATGGTATGAAGATGAGCTGGGAAACTACAGCCCACTACTCCAAGATGAAATTACATAGCAGGCGCGAAGGCACGCTCAGAGGTAGCTGGCACAGGTCGACCGGTACTCACCTGTCAGATCCGAGGAGGCGGAAAACTCTGCTCGGGTCGCAGATCTCCTGCGTTACCTGTGAGTCAACGCATGAGAGCGTTACATTTAATACCTCTTAAATAGGCCCAATCGAAAAGGATGTTTGGGGCCAATGCCGATTCCCGTATCGCACACGATGAAATCCCGAAAACTGATTCATTGTGCGATTCTTTTAAAAAGATCCTGTACAATGAATAACATAAGTTAGCAACTCTAATTGAAGTGTATCAACTGTCTTTCATGCTAATTCTTGGTTCATTTGCCTTTAGCTTTGCCTAAGCTTAACCTATACGGTCAAAACATATCTACAAAATAAATCTGAGATTATTGTACTCCAGATTAATTTTTGTTTGTTAAAAAAAAAAAAAAAAAAAAACATGGGAAGAGGACCTTCCAAAAACAAAAAATCTTATATTAAATCGCAAAATTGTTCGCAGTGAAGGTTTTTATCAAATTCAGGCGAAAAGCTCACAATTTAAGAATGTGATAACATTTTGTATGAGAATCGTAATCTAAATGTGAGCAAAATACAACTGTCAAATATAAGTGTGCCTTGGGGGAGGTCGTAGCTGTTGTGTGTCCATGGAACGTTCCCGTATGCGTGAACGCACCATGAAGCCGCCACTGTGCGTGTACAAAAAGTGTTGACATGATAGCTGGTCAGTCGAGGCAAAGCAGACGGGGGCGAGTGGGCGACACCTGCGAGGTGTTAAGCGCTTGGCTCGGACGAGGAGGGAGATGTGATCTGGGTCTCGGGTGTTGACGGAGGCGCCCGACGGAACAAACGGCCATCGAAGAGCCGCTCGTCCGTGAAGGAATCGTATCCACACAAAAGCTGAATTATTCAACGCCGCTCACTGTTGCGTTTATGATGATCAATTTTGCATGCCTGCTGACATTTAAGAGAAAAAAAAAATAATCCAGATGGCCGCCAAGCCACAGGCGGTATCGCTTTCCATCAAAATGAAATGCTTCGCCTCGCTGTGATCTCTTGAACTTTTATTGTGTGAGCGGGACCGACTAATGATCGGGTTCACTCCGATGACGAGCTCATTACCTGCCGCGCACACAAAGTCACCCGGCGCACCCGGGATCACCTGCACGGTGATGTGGAAGCATCCAGGAGACAATACAGAAGACTTCCATTTTTTTATAAGCTAAGATCGAAAGGCGGCAAACATGTAATGTAATGTAATGTGTCCCTTTAAGGGGCGTGGTCGAATGAGTGACAGCAAGACCCGCAGTCGGTTTGGCCGACATGTGAGTGCCTGGGAGAATTGTGGCTGACAGCAGTCGCTGGAAAGTGTTTTCATTTTTGAGTTTGTTTTTGACTCTTCCGTAACTGGCTTGACTGAGGCTTTTTTTCCCCCACATGCAAAGCCATTACAGTACCTTAATTGCTTTCAGTTCTCCCACCACTTGGAACTGAACTTTTTGGGCTCGCAAAAATAAAACAAACAAACCCATGAAAAGGTCAGCTGGGAGTGTTTTTACCTCATTCGACTTGAAGCTCTTGCCCTGCATGCCGTGCTTCCAGAAGGCCAGAACGCTGTCCTGCAGGCAAACTGCAGGGACAAAAGCAGAGACTCAAACACGCTTGCCACCAATCAGACATCATTTGAGCATTTTCTCCTCTATTATTATCATCACCTATTATTAAATGTCACTGAAAAAACATCCTGTCGAATTTGACTCGCATGCTGAGTGTGCAAAGAAATTTTTCCTCTCTGACAATCGTAAATGTTAAACCAGTTCAAATAAAAGTTGTATGTAAAGAATAATTAATGACAGGGCAGCTACCCAATACCTGGACACTTTCCCCCCCAATCCTATGTCCAGTCTCATGTTTTAAAAGTTGATTAGTATGTACGTGTGTCGTGAACGCCACTTCACGTGCACACTCCTTAAACAAACAAACAAAAAAAATTAAGCGATAAAGTCTTACCAACAGATCCGATGCCAAAGTCAAAACTGAGCTCGGATGCCAGCTTCTTGTTGGACTTCAATTTGCCTTGAAGGTTAACAATCTTCAAATTTTCTGTGTGGAAACACCAGATACAATTGATTCGATTTGAGACTTCTGATGGTTTGATGACAACGGGGGGTCCACTTACGGTCCAAACACACCAACACGGTGTCTCTCTCCAGCTGGGTAACATGGATGGCATCCACCTGCTGATTATCTGCGAGGAGAGATGAAATGGCTGAGAATTTCATATCACATCTGTCATGGAAAAACGGGATCACAATACTAAATAAATAAATCACAGCTACACGCCAAAAGCTCCAAGGCTGAAAGCATAGCAACAATATTTTCAACTGAAAAAAAGACAAAGAATGTAAAGAGATTTTTTTTTCCAGAAAAAGAGATCGGGGGCAATTTTTTTTACATAGTCCAATCATTGGAATAACATTTCACACTGACAATATTCACAAAACGCAAAGACTCCTAAATTGTGATGGCCAAAATAAAGTAAACAACAGTCCCGTTTCATCCCTAATTACAAGTGTGGTACGAAGGACTTACTGGTTCCCATCTCGGTGAACCAGGAAGAGCAGGAGTTGAGGTTAATAGTCTCGAAGCGCACCACCTGGCCGGGCTCGGCGCCCTGGCTGATGGCCACGCACAGCAGCGGGTACTCCTGCTCGGGCACCACCAGCATCTCGAACACTTTCAGCGGGCTGGGAAGTGGGAAGTCAAAGTGCTGCCGGAGGGAGGGAGGGGGGGGGGGGGGGGGGGGGGGGGGGGGAGACATAGGAAACGTGTGTCGGAGGTGTTGGGGCGCGCAGGTGATTTCACATGACGCGGACCTCACCTTGATGAGCATAAACCTCTGCATGGGCTCATACCACTGCAGGAGGACAATGCCGGACTGCAGCGCTCCACATAGATATTTGTGGCCTGTGTATGGGTTCCTCACTGTAAAATAAAAATACTTGAAAAGAATACTTCATGTTGTGGTACTGTTGTTAAATCCAGCTTCTTTTATCTTAGGCTGCTGGCGAAAGGTAAGGCCTCGCCTTTCTCAATAGCACTTTGAAACAGTAATTCATGCCTATGTCACATCTTGGCCCGGATTTCTGTAATGCACTTTATTTTGGAGACAGCCAATCCTCCGTCAAGTGTCTCCAGTTGGTCCAAAATGCTGCTGCTTGCTTCTTGACTGGTACTTGAAAGAAGGGGCACTTAACTCAAACTCTGGCATCCCTTCACTGCCTCCCTGTGCATTTTAGAGTTCTTTTTAAGATTCCATTTTTATTTTATTTTTTTAATGGTCTCACCCTACCATACCTCGCTGAGCTCCATCACCCCTACGCATCAGGCCGGTGCCAAAGGTTTGTGGACCAGACACTATTTGAGGTACAGAGGACTAAGCGAAGGCTCAGAGGGGATCGAGCCTTTTCTGTTGCCGGTTCCTCTCTTTGCAAAGACCTCCCGCTAAACGCTAAGCAAGTGGCCCTCGCTGCCCATTAGATTTATTTTTAGTCTTTGGCCTTTCACTCAGACTTGTTTTCGGTTTGACTGTTTTTGGGCTTTATACTCTTCATGACTAATTTATTGTTTGTTGTAGGACTTACTTTTGCTCCAGGTTCAGCAGACTTTGTATATACTGCGTTGGCTGTTTTAAAGTCCTCTATAAATGTGTGTGCAAAGTACTTTTGACACCCAGGCTGCCTGGGTACATTTGGACAGGATGGACAAATAAAAGCCCAAATAGTGCAAAGGGGGGACTCACCGATGCAGCACTTGTGACAACCCTTTGTGTCGGGGATCTTGGTCGTCAAGGCGAACCTCCTGAGGGGACAAAATAGCTCTCTGTCAGCCCTGCTGAAAAGAGACCATGACGTTGTGAATCGGGCGGAGCCGGACAAAGCTTCCACTTCAGTGCGAGCGGGCTCATTTTTCACACAGGCTGCAGACGGCAAAGGAGCATACACAATAAGACGCCGACTATTTTGCAGTGTAACTCTGAAAAAGCTGACTGCCAAGTGGAAGGAAAACAGCATTTTCCCACTGAAAAAAACAATTCGTCTGCATCAGGCTCAAACTGTCTCCATCTTCCAACTTTGCCTTAACCTTTAAATAGAACAGTTATGGAATCTGTGACTGCATTTTCTTTGGTAGGGGGTACAAATGATTAGGCAGACCACAATGCAAACATCGTTGCACCGCCGTCACCTTGGCAGAATCTTGTCCGGGAAGCGGTGCGTCTGGAGCTGGGCGGCCAAGCCGGGTTTCTTCAGTTGCTCAAAGAGCCCAATGAGGTTGTGGGAATACAGCTGGAAGTTTTTCCCTGCGGGACAACCCACCATCACAGTCACATCATACACATTTTCTTACGCCGGCGCCAAAAAACAGCAGCGGCAGCATATGGACATTTCAGCGAGGTTAGACGTGAGCGGCGCTAAAAGTGTGACAATGGTGTGAAGCGCATTACCTTCTGATGAAGTCGGTTAGTAGAGTGTCAAGTGAAGCCAGGTGGGAGGAGGGTGGACAGTGTTCAAAGGACAGAAACGAGAAGAGAGCAGAAGTTAAGCCGATCCAATAACAAAGAAGGCATTACGGTTTGTCGTCCCATAAAGCACATCAAAATGTGACATTTTGGTCACACATTATAAGCAGTATGTCGTAACTTCATTGACAATTAAATCTCGAGACAGTTGCAGCATTAAAACCTTTCGAGACATTTGGTCCGGGTCCTCTGCATGCTTCAAGTTTAGTCGCAATCAGATAAAATCGCCATAATGAGCTCAAGTGACCTCTTCAGACCAAATTGACAGGCTTATCCCCTGTATTTGTGGGCATATGGCATCTTTAGACTTATTTTTTTTGTGTCTCTAACGCTACTCGAGAACGACTACTGCGAGTCATCAATCTTCTCCAATTAAGGTCCACCGAGACACAGTGACAAACTGACATTTCTAACAACTGAGTATCAGCCATCTATGTCGTATGCATGCTTCAATCAAACAAATACGATTACTTTTTTTGTGGGCATTCTCATGATTGACATGCCTAACAAATTTCAAGGTGTTCGGGGAAACCGGCTTCAGGGGATTGCTTTTTTTCTTTTTATTCTAGCAGTATCTAACAGGCAAAAATGTCTGCTTCTAATCAAAATGCCTTACATCCTGTGCTCTTCAGGCAGGGCTTGTTGAGACTTTTTTTTGGGGTCTACTTAAGATAGATAATGTTAGATAATGCCATCCGAATAACATGTTGGAAACAGACACTGGCTCTGACTTGATGGAGCCAAGTTATTATTGGGTTGTGTTTTATGCCAGATCATCAAGATACCCCGCAATGATCAAATTCACGTTAGATATTTTCAAAGCAGACAGAAACTAGAGAGAGTAACCCATTCCAGCAAAAAAGGTAGGACTGGGGCCTCAGTAAGTGCTGCGGTTTTTGATCAGCAAAGGAGTCGGAAAGTACTTAATGCACACGTATGAATGACAGCAAGTATGAACGGGAGTATTTACAGTTAGTCATACATGAGAAAAGGGAGGCAAAGATGGTTTAATTCTAAACCTACAAGGTTGGTTCTATAAATTTCACAACCGCGTGAGCGGCAGCAGCTCTTGAGAAGCACACTGATCACACAAAAGGAAAACAATGTCTATTTTCAGGTTGGGCAGTGTCGCCAGATAACGCGGGACAAAAGCAGCAGCGGGCGATGACGGTGACGGGTAACGTGGGCCATCGCCACTTACCCGATAAAGACATCAGGTTGTTGTTGATAACGTACAGCCACGTGCACTTCCTGGGGAACAGCTACAAGGAGACATAAAGACGAGGCGTGACCAATGAAGCATTGCGACAGTGGAAACAGATCCAGCTTGTATTTGGTCACTAAGACTTAACACCGCATGATTGTTGCTCTCAAGTGGCTCAAATGGGATCAATGAATTGAATGCCTCGGTCCAAACAAATAAGAACATTTTAAAAAAAACCCACCTGTGGTAAATCTTAATGACGGCAAAAACAAATCATTACGATCAAAATATGCTACAACACAGGTGTGTAGAACATGAAACCAACAAAATAATTCCGTTCAATCCAATGGGGAAAGATGTTTTCAGACACATGCATTTTGGAGTCTATGCGCAGAATATTAGATCGGATTTGGACATCTGAACCTGCAGTGTAAATCCAGGCTAAAATTGGATCAGGGGATTGACGCCGGCTAACTTTACCTGCTCCATCGTGGCCTCATGCAGCTCGTTCAAATTGAGCGTATAGATACCATCCTCTGTCCCAAAGATCAGGTACTGGTCTAAGAGGGTGGGGGTGGGGGGTTACATACATGTGTCAGGATGTCGAAAAAGTCTTAGGTGGGTGGGCGTGGTCGCGTGAAATTGCTGTCACCTTTGGTGTCCGGATGGATCCAAGACGTGGCACAGTTGATCTTCAGAGGACACCCATCGAACACTTTTGAGAAACAAGCTCCCATCTGCCACCCAAAAAAAAAAAAAAAAAAAAGAGAGGAAAGAAAAGGGACAGAAACGAGTAACTCCCATGTACTACGGAAACAAACACAGTGCTGCTCAGCATCTTGTCAGCATATGTTGTGATTTACGACAATCAGTTTTTTTTCCCCCATGTTTCATTGTAAACATCATTAATTCGGTTCCCGTTTACATCAAAGGAAACCAGTTCCCGGCACATACTTACTGTACTACACAATGTTGAACCAAACTGTGATTTCAAAGTCAAGTTAACGTCACAAATAAGGTGATTTTGGAAATAGTGCGAGCAAAGTGAGGCGACTAACACTTCAACAAAGACAGATCAAGAGGCATCGCCATCACTGTGGATGCGGACTGTTCACTCACCAGCACTTTCGGTGTGGGCGGCAAGCCGTTGATAGCCGGTTTCTAGCGTTGGAGCAAAGGAGACAAACTGTGATTCGATTTAGCTTCAAAAGCTAAATCTAATAATGTATTAAAGCATCATCAATTAAACAAAAGCACTCTCCCTATTTTATTTTTACGCACACTTTTTTTCAATTGAGTTATGTAAGTTCAATATAAGGTTGTAAAATAACAAAATGTGGAAAAAAAAGTGAAGCGTTTTAAATGGTTTATGAATGCATTGTATGCGTCTTCAATGTTCAGTGCCATAAATCTCCCATTGAAGGCAAACGGGGTGGACAAAATACATACGGGAAAATCCTTCTTCAGCTTCCGATGTGCCCGGTTGGGTGTCGCCTTGGGACTGTCGCCATTCACGCTTCCGTCCGAGTCGTCGTCTTTGGGATTGAGGCAAAAGCAATGGTGTTATTGGACAATCGCATGCAGAGAAACATGACGGTGGAGCTCTGGCTCACCTTTGCCTTCGCACTTACTGACAGCTTTGTAAAGAAGAAAAATGACCAATGAACCACTTTGAACGTCAAATTTCACTGTTTTCTTGGGATTCAAAATGGCGGCAAAGCACAAATTCAAAAGACGGCAGAAGAAATGGAAGCAGAAGAACGAGTCGTCATCTCAACAAATCACAACTACGGAAAACCCAAAGTTCAAGAAACCCAAGACATGACAACTTTAAGAGACCAAAAGATTTTCCAATGTGTTGTATGACTATAAGAGTTTCACTTTTTGAATTGAACTAGAGAAATCAAACTTTTCTTCCATATTTTTAATTTACTGATGTAACCTGTACAGATGTAAAAGAACTGCTGATGTTGCAGCATGTCCTTACCCTGGTCCGAAGCGTGAGACAAGAGCCCAGGGCTGCTGACGCTGACAGAAAGGTAGTCCGGCGACGAGCTCCCTGCCTTGTTGCCATGCTCCGGCGTGCTCCGGCGTCGCGCCGCCTGGCCCGGACCGTTTTCCGCGTTGGGGAAGCGTCGCACCGTCAGCAAGCGCTCGTCGCCGAGACCTGCGTCCTCATAGGGGATTTGCAAGCGGGGCTGCAGGAAAAAAGAGACAATGGCAGGCAATAGTCAAGTCAGGTCAAGTTTATTCATATAGCCCTTGATCGCAAAGCGATCCTCAAAGGCACACAATTAAAACTAATCTAAAATGAAGCATATGCTGAAAAATTCTATTGAAAAAGGAAAAAAAAAAAAAAGACAAATCTGCGCTAAAAACGAATGAAAACTAAATTGAAATATATATTTTTTCATGAACTAAAATTAATGGAAACCTATTATAACACTGCTAAATTAATTATGTTACCAGAAAAATTGGAATCGCTACTTATGAGTTACCAACAGGGAAAATAACAACAGCAATAATTAATGAAAAACCTTGAATTGTCAAACATTTTTGAGCGTTAGTTTCATGGACCAGTTAGAGTAGAACAGAACACATGCCTACTTTATTAAACTTAATTCTTATTAGACTTAAACCCACCACTGGTGGACGCAATGTACTGTCAGACAGAGCAACTGATTTTCCTTTTCCTATTTGAAGGAGTCGTTTATTAGTCTTCGGTGGATGACGCAGTCAGCGTCTATGAGCTTATCGGACAATTATTTGTGGAATTGCGATTTGTCATTGACTCTCACCTTCGGGGGCCGAGGAGGAGGATAGCCTGGCTTGAGTGTGGATCTGAAATAGGAAAAGAAAACAAGAAACAAAAAAGAGAAATGAAGTTCTCAATCGCAGACGTCCTTTGAACCTGCCACACCACGGTGTTCGGTACACTTGCGCATTTGGATGAGATCAGACCGATTTCGTCCAACGGGTATGAATGAACGTGTTTGTCATTGTGGTTGCAGTTGTAGTTTTTCTTGCATGTAGCTAATTGCAAGTACAGCTTTGCCTTGCCATTTTCTAGCTACATGACATCAAATAACAAGACTAAAGATGACATTTTTTTTCATGCCTTGTCTCATTAGAGGCCGTGCAGTGCATGTGTTTGTGTGTGTGTGTGTGTGTGTGTGTGTGTGTGTGTGTGTGTGTGTGTGTACTGCCACGGCCGGTGATTAAACACCAGCGTTTCCTCACAGTTCCACTTCTTCGAAGGCGTCCTGGAGGTGAGCGACGTGTCCCCTGAAGTGAAGCAGAGAGCGGGGTTACGCTCATCCGTGGCATTTGGGGATGATGGTTAATTTAAGAAGGGATGATGCAAATTAAATGCAAATGTGGGAAGGGGTGGGGGAAATCCACATTTTGTTGTGGGGGAGGGTAATGTTACCAAGTAGTCCAATGACGTCAACCCTCCGCGAAACCGGTGCAACAACATTATGGACAGCTATTACATCCTTCATGCGCACTTCATGTGTTCTCCTGTCACACAGTGCCCTAAATCAGACATCTTTTGCATTTTTTTTTTATTTAACAATTAGCATGTCCGTGATAGGCTTTTGTTGAAATAGCCCAAGGATCCACAATTAGAGCACATTTGAAACCTGCGAATGGGCAAATGTTGTGATCGATGGCCACATTTGACTTCAAAAATGCTCAAAACATGTGTAGAAGTAAATACAAACCAAAACCAGAGCACAATGCTTTGTAAAATATTCCGTTTTTTAAAATTACTGATACAATATTTTATAGTGTCCAGAATTCATTATTATGCACTAAACCATTGTGCAATAAAATCAAAATATGTAAACTGTTTTATTGTATCATTTTATTTACAATCACTCAATTTAATGTGATAAATAAATAAAACAACCATCAATTTGGGGGAATTTAACAGGACTCTTGATAATGTACCCCAGTTAAATGAGCTCCTGTTACACCATTTACTTGATATGACAAAAATACAGTACACAGAGTGTCCTCCAATGTACTGTATTTTGACTAATTAAATGGTCTATGTTTTTGTTGTTTTTTTCTTTTACTATGGAAGCTGTAAATACATTTACATAAAAAAAAAATAAAATCTTAAGAAAATTTCAAATTAATCAATAAAATGAATTCATCGCAAAGCCCTAAGACAGGCTATCAGTATTAACTCAGAATTGGGCAATTGGACCTGCAGTGTAAATGCTTCTTAGACGTCCATGATATCGGCAGTTGCGCTGACTTCCAAAGGGGAAAATCATGAGGGTTGGCATCTCTTCTACTTTTCAATTTTTCACCTGATTTCAATTTTACAGTACCGGGGGAGTTTGTAATGACAAACAACACATGCTGCTTGTGTGGTATTTAAATGGCTACAAACTCGATGGTTTACAAAAACAATGTCGGCGGATGATTCGGGAGTTTGGACTAATGGATGCAAGACGACAACTACAACAGAACACAAGCAACAGCAGTGTTAAGAGTTACCGTTGGAACAACTCGTCCTCAACGCTTTTGAGGAGACTCCTTCGGTGGGGAGGGGGAGGGAACGAGATGAGAGACGAGACAGGCCGACAGCCAAAAGAAGTTTGGGGAGAGATACAGAGAAAGACAAGCAAAGCAAAAGGGAGACGTGAGAAGGAGCTCGCTTATACTTTATAAAAAAAATAAATAAAAAACATACAGCAAGCGTGGGGGAGGGGGGTGGAGGAAAATTCGTGCTCATTAAGAATCAGTGAGTCAGGTAGTCATGAGTTTAAACACTTCATCGTGGACGTGCAAGGGGGAGATCAAGCCAAATTTCAAAAAACGGTGTCAACAAGAGCAGCCGCCTTGACGCTTACCTGGCTGTTATTCCCCCCTCGGCAAAGGGGCTCCAGGGGGACTGGAAGTCATTATCTTTACTCACATCCTGTGCGAAGACACAAGCAGAAATAGCAGCGGCTTGATACACCTGCACGTCGGCGCCACCGCCTGCCTTTTGATCCTCACCATTTCTGAATGGGCCTCCGTTTCCTTCCGCAGCGGCGGCTCAAACTGCAACTTGTCGACTGCCAATGACAAAAGGACACTTTTTTTTTTAAGCGGTCGACTGCTTCTGAGGCAGATGCCATTTGTCATTTACAATTCATCAGTTAAACTGATTGAAAAATGGATGTGGCTGAAATTCAGGCATTTAAGTAAACTCACACATTTGTTTCGAAATACGTTATAGTTGTTAGAAAATATCGTGAGTGGATTCAATAGAGCCGACCAACGCTAGTTAGAGCGAACTGTAAATTAATAAAAGGTGATTCAGCTCTTTCAATTGCCTCATTGTGTAAACAGTAACAAAAACAAAAGACAAAGTGAAGCACATTCTGAGCACACCTCAACTGGCACCGCCACTGCACACCAATGTGGCAAAGGCGATGGCAAGGAAAGGGCTGGCCGATAGTCCGTCCTCACATTTTCACTTGGATGGTGACCCCAAGTGGCAAAATATAAGACCTACACCCCACATGCGTGTTTGTTGGCAATGGAAGGGCATGGATGAAACTTTGAAGCAAATATAAATAAAAAAACACGGCGGCTACGACGGATTACGTCTATTGGTGAGGTTGTCTGGAACACATTAGGCAGCAATAATAGGCAAACAATGGGGGCAGCTGTGGCTCAGCTGGTAGGGCGGATCACCCAATAATTCAATGTTCGGCTGTCAAGAAAATGACTGCTGAGCTGCCACAAGGTTGGCATCGTAAATAAGAAACATGCCTGGTTAAAAATGATTAAACCGAGGATTACGGTATTGATGTACTGTGTGAGGGGTGGCGGGGTGCAAATTTCTCAATATAATCTGACCAAACATTTTCCACATACCTGTGAGGTAATGTCTTGCTCAACCAAACAAAGTGTCTCACTCAACCACGAGGCGGTCTTGTGATCCTTCCTCCAAATACAACCGTTTACACCCACTCGGTTTATCCGACTCACCCACGTATTCCCGCTGGCTCAATTTGGATTGTTTATGTATTTATTTGTAAGGGAAATCTAAAACCAACTCCAACGTTTTTGGGGTATACCGGACAGCACAACTCAAACAACATTTACCGGGAGTATCCTCGTGCGTATTGTTTACAATCATGAAAAGGTCCACAAACGCTGACACGGAATAAGGGGAGGAAAGGGGGGGAATGCATACGAAGGTCATATCAGAGCCGTAACAGGCGGTGCAATGGGTGTGTGGCAATGTGTGCAGCCCACCTTTGCTAGGCTTTGTGTAGGAAGATGCATAAATGATGGATCATCCGTTCCATCTCAGATGCTGATTTTAGCCCCTTTCACCCTACCTACATATGCAGACATCTTTCCCGTCACGATGGGAGAGAGGGGTAGATGCAGTCAACCCAGGATTTTTTTTTCTGCTTTCAAAGGTAGCATCAGAACTGTGACAAATGTGATGCGACTGTTTGTAAGAAGAATATCCACCCGCAATGTCACTGTTCTGTACAAACAGCTGTGTGAAAGCATGCTTTCTTGGAAATATCCTACTTTCGCTTTGTGTGAAAGGGCACACGGTGGAAGCAGTTTGCTGGGTTTTATGATCAAATGCAACGATGGATAAAAGTGAGGCTCTTCTTCTGTTGCGTCACTTATGCGTGAAACTGGCTATACTTAGCCGTGTGAGATCCTTGCACAAAGGCGCACACAGGCAGTTGTGGCTGTGGCCAATATCCAATTTGAGGTGTTAAATTCAAAAGTATAAAAGAACCTTCTGTTAGGGCTCTGATGCGGTTTTACAAGTTATTCCACTGCGTCAAAGGGTTATTGTTCGTCTTACTATGTCCCTGAGTGTAAGCGGATACGCAGATGTGGGCGACCTTCACTTTGCTGTGTTCTGTGTTAAAGTCAAAGGCGGAAAAAGGCCTTCGTATACAGATCTTTGCAGGGTTACTGCATGAAAAAAGGCTAGTTAGCCATGTCAATAACCAGATCTAAGCCATTCTGAATAAATATGTATTGCATTTATCTTAGTATTATTAATGATGCAGTATAACAAAGGTTATATAGGTGAAAAAAAACCAAACATTCCAAACCACGAGTCAACACTACCGCGCACACCAAAAAAAGTGCTGAGTCAGGTATGACTCAAACGTGAGGATCCGATTAGTCACGGGTGACACAATGCAATTTCTGTCAGTCCGTCAGAGAGCCACACACATTTTTGGGAGGGCGAGGGTTTACGTGTTACAACAAGACCACACCAGAGGGTGAGCGTGGGCGTTACAAACACAAACACACGCACGTCGTCTCGCGCCGCCGCCACTGACCTGCTTGGCTCTCTTGAGGGGATTGCGGCCCTCCTTGCTCTGTCCCATTGTTTGCTTCAAGGTGAGAAAGACATATTGAGGAATGCTAAATCAGGCAGAACCTCCATTTAGGTTCTATTGACCTATTTATACACACACATGATGTGGCCTGGAACAGTGCCAGTGCGGAATGAGCAGTAGTGGGACCTCGAGTGACCTGAAAAGCTGGGCTGCTAACACCCGTGACGTGGGTCGCTGATGGATTTTAGTTTTTTTTTTGGTTGTTTTTTTTTTTTAATGGTAACTTACAGGCCATCTCAGAGCGCGTCCTCTCTGCCCGAGCGTGCTTGTTGGTGGAGCGGATGGTGTGTCGGACCACAGAGAGGGGCTGCGGAACAGATTGGAGACAGTTTGTCACATTGAAAGCATGGTCTCTTTTCCCTTTGCATAATATGTTCCCGCAATACATCGTGTGCAACTGTAACATCGTGTCATAAGCGCTCATTTAAAAGTCGACATGCCCCTGTTTGAATACCGGGTTTTCTGTAGTGTTCATAAATGAGACCAAAATAATAAAATAAAATTGTCATGAGGCATAAACTCCAATGCAGCAATGAAACGGATTATTCGCCCAGCCTTACTTTGACATTTCATCTGAGTTGGATGACATGTGCCGTGTGTGAGCAGCGCCAGAAGCCATTCCAAAAAAACAGTTTGCACACTTTTATGTAAAAGCACAAATCATTGAACGAGTTCAGCAGCTGATGATATCTGCCATGACTCATCACGGTCACAATGACATTTCTTTTGTGTAAATGTTGTGCTATTTACAGAAGTACATGAGTTTGCCTTTGTACAAGATTTTAACCGGTACCTACGGGTTGTGGGAAAAAGTGCATTTTCATTCCAATGTGATATGTAATGTCTAATGTTACCAAAAAATAAAAAAATTCTGAACATAAATAAATAAATCCGTAGAGCATAATATATATTAGTACAAAGGAAAAATCAGCTTTTAAAGGGTGATTTTAATATGAGAGCATGTTATTCTGGAGAAAATATATACAGTATCTCTCTCTGTCTGTCTCTCTCCCTTGCTATTTACAGAAGTACATGAGTTTGCCTTTGTACAAGATTTTAACCGGTACCTACGGGTTGTGGGAAAAAGTGCATTTTCATTCCAATGTGATATGTAATGTCTAATGTTACCAAAAAATAAAAAAATTCTGAACATAAATAAATAAATCCGTAGAGCATAATATATATTAGTACAAAGGAAAAATCAGCTTTTAAAGGGTGATTTTAATATGAGAGCATGTTATTCTGGAGAAAATATATACAGTATCTCTCTCTGTCTGTCTCTCTCCCTCTCTTTATTTTTTTAACTATTTTTATGTTTAATTTTATGTTTCATTTACATGTGCAAATGTGTGACCGTATCTTACCTCAAGGTCGTCGTCATCCGCCTCACCATAATGCTGGTGGTTGTCGGGGTTGTTCATCTTGTCCAGGAGGTCGACGGCGAGCCGCCTAGTCAAGCCCGTCTGCGCCACATACACATGCTGCGCCGAAACCAAGAAGTTACGGGAAGACGCTCAAGTGCGTACGTATCGCAACAAAAATGGAAGCATTTGATTACCGAAAGGAGCTTTTCTGCTGTGGGCCTCTTCTTGGGGTTCTTGGTCAGGGACACTTTGACAAAGTTGTGGAAGGCGGCGGACCTGTGGATACAAAAGCAATCGGTCACAACATCATCCTCTATAGAAAGCTTTATACAGCACAAAGTAGGGAAGGCACTCACCATTTGTTTTTGTCTTTTAGCTTGGGCGGTTGGAAGCTGCTCTTTGACATAAGAAACAAGGCCCTAAACAAACCGGGGATCACAATGTCAACATTACATTTGGAATAAATTGGCACATTAAAAGCATTTACATGGTAAGGTTGTCTAAAGTCTGTGACTTGTCAATACGATGATGCAATGTTTACATATGCACGCAGCGGGCCGGCGACATAGAAGCAACAGTAAGCAAGTCAGGCCCTTTTTGCTGGGACCCTGAATAGAAGAAGGCACAATTATTTTTTTGGGGCTTCTGTGCTAAAAACCGCCATTACTTCCGAGCGGATAACTTGGGACCATTTCTACCACTACAAAGTGCAGTTATCTATCAAGCTATGCCTACAACCTGAAAAATGAAAACGGCTTCCATGAAGATTAAATGTGTTTTGTGTGATTTGGGATACAATGTCTCTGCCATGTGCACGAATGCAAGTTGGACGTAACAAGACAGCGGCAAAACAAACATGATGTGATGGCTAACTATATCTACGTGTGGCGAGGAGATTTGTATTCTGTTTAGCCACATTGGCTAAGATGTTTTTTGTGAGCAAGCACATGACTCTCTTTCATTTATATGGTGACAAGTTAAGATAAGTTGGACAACTGCGCTTTGAGGCCAACCATATTACAACACATTTGATATGAATTTTTGCTAATTGTGGATGCATCTGGACCTCATCCCGCTTGATGCAGAGGGCTTCACTGTTTACCTCATTGGGTGCAAATCAAACATGGGGGGCTGCAACTCAGCCAGCTCGATGGACGTGATGCCCACTGCCCAGATGTCGCACAGCTGGTTGTAGCCACCGTTCTTCTCCACTGCGGCCACCTCTGGAGCCATCCTGCACAACGTCAAGAGGGAAACTAGGTGACAAGAGCTTCTGAAGCTACTTGTCCAAATGCCTCACTGACGACGTACTCACCAGTAAGGCGTCCCGATGAAGGACTTTCTCTTGGCGATGGTGGCTGTTATTTTTGCCGCGACACCAAAGTCAGCTGTACACACAGACACACACACAAAAAAAATTTAATAAAATTAAAAAAATTAAATTAAAAAAAAAAAACACAACACACAACCAATCACACACACATATACACACCACAAACTGAAACAGGAACACAATTGAGAAACAAAACACCACATATCAAGAGACTCACATAAAAGACAAAGACAAACCACATACACACAATAACGCGCGCACACAGACACCCATGAAAAACACAAAACACGTGCACACAAACACACCATACAACAAACAGAAAAAAAAGCCATGAGATGTAAACAAAAGCCCAACACACACAAAACAATGCACACCACACAAACAAACTAAACACACAGGCACAAAAACAACACGCAAAAAACCAAAACAAACACGCATAGACATATGAAAAACACACAACGCAAAACACACACAACACAAAACATGAAAAAATGCACACACAAAAATAAAACAACACACACAGACACACACACACACACACACACACACAGACACACGGGAGTTTTTAGGGTTGCGAAACCAGCTGCGAAGAGCTGAGGAATGAGGACACACAAGAGCCACTTACCCAACTTGACGTCGCCATCGTTCGTCAGAAGTATGTTGGCGCCCTGAAAACACAAGACAAAAACACACAAGATTTATTTTGGCGGATAACGTCCCATATCATGTCACATTCTTAGAAACATCTGGCATGCGACCCGCTTCTGAAAACAGACTGTGTGTGTGTGTGTGTGTGTGTGTGTGTGTGTACCTTAATGTCACGGTGCATCTTGCCTTTGGTGTGCAAGTATCCCAAACCCTGTAAAAGGCAAATCAAGACTATCAGTTGTCATTCCGAAGACGATTTTAGATATTGATTGAGGGGGGAGAGAGAAAAAAAAAAAAAGAAATCAGCAAATCACCTGTAAAGTCTCCCGGCACATGTATGCAATCTGCATCTCCGACAAAGGACCCGTCACTGTAACACGCAAGAGACGATAGTATGAGTGCGGTGCAGGAAATAGAATGCTGTTGACTGTTAATAGCGTGAAAAAAAATAATCATATGAATTAAAAAAGGGGGTTCACCATGATAAATGTCCTGCAGGGATCCGCCACCGCAGTACTCCATGCATATCCACAGCTTCTCTCGACTGAACAAGGCACAGGAAAAAGAGAAAGCAGTCAGATTCATACAGTTACACAAACACAAATAAAACGTTTCAAAGCTATTTGTTGGTGTGCTGAAAAATCACCACAACCGAATTCAAATTGACATCGTAATGTAGTAGAATGAGAGTTTCAAATCGCAAAGGCTGCAACAGGCACATATCAGAGGGTTCCTGTCAAACCTGCTGGAAGTCGGGAGCGGCTATACTTTCCGTCACACCGAGGCGGCGACGGGGGGCCCCCTAAGTCGTGGAGTCTGAGCCATATTTTGACTCAGGAATTAGCATGCCACTTGCAGCCACCAGGCCCCGTAAAAGCCCCTTCAAAAGCACCGACGTGTTGAACACGGAACCCTGGCGGCGCTCTCACCAGAGGTAGCTCCCAAAGTAGGCCACGATGTTGTGGTGCATGCATTCCTTCACCATGAAGATTTCCTGCTGGATGATGGAAAAGTCGTCCCCTGGAACACAACAGCACGGAAAACGCATTACGATCGGTGCTGCGGAGAGAAATTGGAATCTCTGGTTTGTTAAAAATCTGTTTTCGTGAAGAGTGTTTTTAGTAGCCAATTTAGCGTTTCAAAAAAAGGTTTTTGTGTTTCAAACCAAGCTTTGGGGTTTGACTTTGGGCCTCGAGCACGCCTTGGGGTTTCAAACAAGGGTTAGGGTTCCAAATTTGGGATTTCAAGGGTTAAGGTATCAGAGTTTCAAATTAGGGTTTTAAGCCGATAGTTGGTGTTTCAAATTGGGGTTTAAAATAGGGCCCGATGAATATGGATTGATTTTATTTTATTTTTTTAAGGCCAGTGTGGATTTGCTAGAATGAAATACCGATAATCAATTTATCGGCCAATTTAGTAAAAAAATTATACATAATAAAGTAGATTTTTTTGGGTCGATTATAGCTATAGCATTTCACAACAGAAAAAAACCTGACAAGAAAATAAAAGTTTAAAACCAAACTGCCAATATGTTCTTATCTTTGTCTAATAAAGTGTTAATGATTAAAAAAAAAAAACTGAAAACATATTAACCCTTTCATGCCCCCTGTAACCTGATAACATGGTAATCTGTCCACTGGAGTGACCGCTGTCCCTGAAAGGGTTAAAAGAGCAAATTTCAGCCGATTGCATCACCCTGGTCGATTAATCGGTCGGCTCCTAGTTTAGGTTGAGTTCAGGGTGAGGGTTAAGGTTTCAAATGAGGTCTTGAAACTAAGGTTATGCTTTCAAACGACAGTGTCGCACAGACACTAACTCCAGGAGAGCTCCATCAAACGGAACAATTTGTTCGACTAACATTCACGTGTGCAACTCTCAAAACCTCCCAGCAGTAGAAGTTGAAAAAAAATATCAAAAATGTCAGCCAGCTGCTTCCAATTGTGCAGAAACAGGCTGCTGCAATTGATTTTGATTACAGCGAGGTTCCAAAGTCCACATGAAGATTGAAAAGATGAAAATATGCGCTGCAGAGAAAGTTGTGGTGAATGGCACCGTGTGCGTCGAGGAAATAAATATTCAATATGTGTCGCTGTAACTTCTACATGGAAAGTCATGTATGAACTTCGGTTGACACGAATCAGTGGCAGTGTAGTTTGAAATGTCTCCAAATAGCATGAAGTCAGTTGTGAAAGATTCATTTTAGGAATAAAATTGGCAAGTAAAAGGTACAGGGGTGAAATTTCAAAATGGAGATGACCACAATGGAATCTCCTTTAATTGTTAAAGTGAGTCCGTCGCACCAGGATTTGGTCATGTTCCAGTTAGTTTCAAAGGTGAGGGAGTCAGATTAGGGTTTCAAACCAACAACAAGGGTATGAAGCCAAGGATGGTGTTTCAAATTACGGTTTCAAACCCAAGATTGGAGTTTCAAACTCCGGTTAAATGTGGTCCAAGGGCTTGACGTTTTTGTCACATACTGCAGATTTGTGATTGTCATTTTAAGGCTGCTGCATGTTCCTTCACTTTGTTGACAGTAACGTACGAGTCAGCAGCACAGCGGCCACAAACATTTGGGAAAAGGCTAATTTCAGGGACGTGACTCAGAGATGCGAGACACGAAAAAAAAAAACACCCCTCCACCCCCAACCCACACACACACACACACTCACACACACACACAGTGGTCACTTGTGGGGACGCTTCCCTTCCTCCTCAGGTTGACTCCTTCTTTATGAAACGCATCATTTATAGAGGTGATAATGTTTTCATTAATGAAGTTAGAACATCATGAAAAAGTTGAATATTCTTTGCCAGTCATTTTATAAAGTGAGTTGAAGTCTCTCTTTGTACGTCATGTTTCAAATGCAACTGTCAAAGATACACACACACATATACATATACATA